GTTGGGCGGGGGGGGGGGGAGGGACAAGCAGTTTAGCTTAGAAGAGAATGTACATGAACCAAGGCTCTTAGATACTATATAACCATTTACTTTTGCATCTGCCTTTACAGAAATTCCATTCTCCAAGCCTATTCAGTGTACTGATGAACATGCAGATGATCTTTGTAACCCTTGGGTTAAAAAGGATATCAATAGAGACCTTGTTCCACACTTCCCGTCCATCACCCCGAGAGGCATGGGCCCAGATGAGGAAGAGAACTCTGTAGAGTCCCTTTCTAAACTGAGTGTCAAGTTCCCACCTACAGACAGTGACTCTACTTTTTTGCAGAGCACACCAGATACTCCGCCAGTTCCCTGTGTGGTGGTGCCTGAATGCTTGCTTCCGGATCCACAGTTCGACACGGAGCTCGGCGATCCGGCTGTGAACTTCAGCGAAGCGACATGTCATTTGTTTGAGGAATGCAGTTCTGTCCCCTTTACTCCGACTGTGCATAACCTGTTGGTTGCGAGCAAAACCAAACCCTCGACCCACACAAACGTGCTCTTGCAGAGTCCTTTGGACAAAGCGCCTGGATTTAAAGCACCGTACTTAAACAATTTCGGAGCCTTTCCCTCTTTAGAAGCTAACGAGAGAACTGTCGATGCATCTCAGCAGGTATCTAGTTGTTGTTTTTTTATTCGTTCTGCATTTACACATGATAATTCTGTAAAATGTAAAATAGATTGCAATCAGATGCATTTATTTAACTTAACCTGTACTCTGTTTGCAACCTTGTCAAGGATTCTGATTCAAAGAAGTGAACGGTGACTCACGAAAGCACTTTCTCTTTTCTACTGATTCAAGGAGTTAAGACAAATGATCACCACCATAATGCGGTGATTTGGCATTTTGCTTCGGCTGAGCAGCTAGTGGGGTCCCCATTTGAAGTCTTTATTTGATGCTGCAGTTATTTTCTTAAACCAGGTGGCAAGTTTACGGGCTTCTTTTCCATTTGAGGAAGAATTCAGCAGTTTGTGTATGCCTTCTCTTACCTAAAGACTCTGGACCAAATTTCAGCCTACAGTCTGATTTAGGAATATTTTTATGGCACACCCACCCTTCGGGGGGGGGGGAGTAAAAGCGCAAGGTAGCTGCAAATGCAAAGTTGCAAATGTGGATAAGACCACATAAAAACAATTTATCTAGAAATAACACGAATATTACCACAATGGTTCAGGTTGCCTCTAGCCAAATACCTGCTTCTCTGCAGTGTTTGGGCAGCTCTACATCTGTGTAGCTATCTTTGAAATCACAGTCAGTGGTAAAGCCCCTTTTATGCTTGGCAAGAGTCTGCATGTCAGTCAGAGCTCCTGCCCAGGAAGGGACCTTTGGATCACACTGGCATCTTTTTTCTAAAGGATGTTCTCTGTGATTAACCCCCCACACACACACACCTTGAGGTCCACGACACACATCACAGCTCCTTTTCTATTTATTTATTTTTTATTTATTTATTAATCTGCCACCTCCTGGTGCTGGGGCACTGTTTGAACAGGCACCGTCGTGCTTACCTGTAACAGAAGAGGTGCTGGCTTCTCCTTCTCACCTGTGTTTTGCTCTGTTTTGTCAGTGCATCCTTGGGCATGATCTCCGGGATACCTTAACACTGGCATCACCTCCACTTGGAAAATCCTGTTGGAAACAAATGAGTGAACAGGGCAGCATGTTTTGTGCTCATAACGCATGACATTATGAGTCACCCCTTGTGACCTACCTCTCTGCAAATTATTAAGCATTTAATCATTTTTATTTTCTTCCTAAGTTCACAACGTAGTACTCTTTAAACATTTTATGCTGGTATCCACAAAACCCTTGGGATTACATCTCCATTTCATTTTATTCTAGAATAGCAATAGAGCTTTTCAATTTATGATATATAATTGAGGTATACATAAAACATTTCATAAAATTTTCAAAACAAAATACCCATCTTTTATTACCTGCATGATCCCTGTGGAGTTACAAATCATCCATCCTGTTACTTGTTACTTTCTCTTTTTTCTGCATTATATCTCCTGCTTGTTCTTTTAGTTACTCTGTATATTTGTTTTTCAATAGATGGCACCCAGTATTGTATATCAAAACATATGGGACAGCTAGTAATGTGGTTGCAAATAGGTGCAGAGAGACACAACGTTAAAAATGAAGGAGAATTAGTGTTGAAACTGTCACAAGATATGGGGTGTCAGGCTAGAAAACTTGCAGTTTTGCAGCAACAAAAAAGGAGATGTCTAGGGTACCAATTTTGGATGTGACTGGCCAGTTCTATAACTCAGTTGTAGCCAGGAAGTCTTATGTTTACATTTGGAAAGACAACTGGCAATAGAAAATGGCTTCAATATTTGTTAGTTGCATCCATGTAGAAATGTAGAACATAAGGCCTCTGATTAAAATTGTGCATCTTATCCAGAAGCTTCTGCAACTTAAGAATCCACTAAACCTAAAGCTGCATGTATTACTTTAAATATTTTGTTATTTTTATTATTACCTGTGTTTGCCATACATTTTAATTTAGGAAGGTTGAACATAATCTTTGGTCAATAATAAATTTCAGTAATTTGAATCCAGGGAAACAGTAAACAGAAACAAACGCAGAGCCATTTGCAAAACAGCAGTAAGGAAAGTGTGAAAATTCCATTTGCTAAAAATAATGTTCCCAGTTCTAGGGACGTTTTGGAAAGGCTGTGGGCCCCATTACTGGATGAACTGCAGTGGATGTGCAGACAGTATCCTTCACTGATTGCCACATCTTTTGTACACTGTAAAACTGGACTCGGTCTTTTACAAAGACCAGTTTGAGATGTGGTCGTGACAGCAGTGGTCTAGGTCAGACATAATAGCGCGTCTCTGTTTGTGCTTCCATGAACAAGCCTGGGAGATCTTCAGCCTCATTTCCTCACACCAGGTCCGTTAAACACCTCCAAATCCATTGCAAACTACACTTTGCTGTGTCCAAGTCATAAACTGTGATTTGTTCTTTTCCTTCCAGACCAGAATGAAATCCTGGTTTGGAAAGAAGAGAACAAAGCCATACAGATTCTTCAACCAGATGACCAACTGTCGTTTGCCGTGGAAGTATTTTAATTTCCAAGCTATGCAGCAATGCAGGGAGAAGGGGGTGATGACACAAGGGGTCTCTAGTCCCCAGGTTTATTCGTCTAATGGCATGAACGACACAAGGGGTCTCTCCCCAGGTTTATTCGTCTAATGGCATGACTGGTCGTCAGGCTCTTCTCCAAATGGAACACAAAGCCTTGCTCCTGTTACAAGCCCCACAAATATAGTTTAAGAAACCTTGGGCTGTTCACCACGTTGCCTGGTTGTTAAAAGGGACTGTTTTGAAGGAAGGCACATAGTTGAAAACGTACGAGTCCTTGTAGGAAGGATTTGCCATTGCCATTATCCTAGTGATGCTGACTTCCATGCATGATCTCATATTTCTCTCCTTTATTCTCCCCACCACCACCACCACCACCCACCCCCTATAAGGACTTTCTGTCATGTACTTAGTACATGTGTTAACAAATAAAGATGAGAAGGGGAAACTTAAATGCAGTGTAATTGGCAGCCGTAAGTCGTTAGAGCTGTGGCTCTCAGTTGGTGTAATAAATTTAGCTCTTCCTTGCAGACACTAAATATAAAAAAAATCCCACTTCCTTAGTATATTGCAGTTTCTGAAACACCTGGGTGGGAAACTGTAGTGCTGAAAACCAGAGTGTGGACCAAACAGAAAGTCTCATGGACTGGATTTCTGATGCACTCTTGCATTATGGCTCACCTGGAGATCTGGTCCATCAAGCAGAGCTCGTCTTTGTTTTATTTTGTTTGGGGGAAAAGCAAACATGAGAGTAGCCAAGATACTATGTGAATCACTTTAAGTATGTGTTTGTGGCAGCAGTTAAACAAAATGTGTTAATATATACACGAATCTACCTGTGGAATGCCCGGGCTCTTGAAGCTACCTACATGGCAACATACTTTTAGCACTGGGCAAAAATGTTTTTTTCCTTATCCAGGCTTTTAAACTAAATTTAATTTCCTTGTCCTGTTCTACCCCTGTTTTTATACTGTTTGCTTTTCATGTCTGCTGTAATATTGATTTTTATACAATTGATTTTCTTGGTTGTTGTTTCAAAATACCGATGTTTTGCTTTATACCTGCTTCTTTAGTTTGTTTCGTGTACTGGGTTATTTTAACTACAGTTTTTTAATTGGATTTTTATTATTATGTTTTCAGCCCCCTCAGGCAGATTCTAAAGAGTGTGGAATGAATACTTGTAACCCTAATTCTACTGCCTTAAAACACTGTAGATGATTTTAATTGTGAGCCAAACTGTATAGGCCCTCGTGTACGGAAGTGTGGGATGTAAATCTAAAACTCTGATAAATCTTTTAAATAATGCCTATTTAGAAGAATATTTGCATGGATTGATTTTTAGATTTATATCCTACACTTTGGCTCACCAACACCTCACAACTCAAATAGGCTTTTTTGGGGTAAGTCATTAAAATAATTAGGATTGCAATCATGAATCAGTACAATAATCAACTGATATGTGTGTCAGTGAGGGCAAATTGTAATCGGTGAGGCCATGAGTTAAGGATATATGTTTTTTTGAAGGCTATTTTGATTCTGGTATGTCTCTGTAATAGGAAACAGAAAATGGTAAGATGACCTTTCCTTCTAACACTGAGTAATAGGCTCCAGTTTAATAAAGAGAATGTCTTTTATCCTTGAATAATTCAAGAAGGCCACCTAATTTTAGGTTTTGGTAGTAGTAGAATCTTTTTAATTAGGTAAAAGACAGATGATAACTGAGATTTCTAATAATATGCTTGAAATTCCCCATAGTGCACACACACACGTAAGTAAAAATACAATTGTTAGAAGGAATCCAAAATACAACTATCATATAGCTTAATGACCTGTACAATAAAAAATTCATCCTGCCAAAATGGTTTGTTAGACAGGAGCAGTTTGTATGTCAAAGTGTTATGCAGAAACTCTAACCCCAGTGAACAAACAACCTTAAGATGTGGTCCTTTTACTGGTGTCTATGCTTGGTCAAATATTATAAGACTAGCAGGTATATTTTGGCCATGTAATCATGCTTCCTATTACAGTTATTAAACTGCCAGATTAAATCAAGGTGGAGTTGCAAATAAGTAATTAAAAGCACACTTCCGTGGTGATATTTAAAACACGCATCAGTGCCTAGACAGCTTTCCGAAGCAATTTACACCAACAAAAAGTAGACTGTTTGTAAGGAGAACTTGCTGTAATTACACCTAATTAGCTTCTGTTCTGCAAGGATTGATAGCTGACCATTGTGAAAGAGCCATGATAGAAATCTGCGAAGACCTTGTGACAACATATTATGTAGATAAAGAACTGACTCCTAAAAGAAATAGTGGCTGGTTTTGGTTTTTTGGTTTTTTTAACAAAGCAGTGTGCTTCAGAATTCTTAAGATTCTAGAACTTCAAAATGTAGATCCAGAGTTTATTTTAATGTTTTGTAATGTGAACAGCAAAAAAATTGCAGTGGGAATTGTACTTTTGTGCAGGTGGGCATAAGAAGCTAGGTTGTTTCTTTAAAATAAATGCAGAGTAATACATATCAAAAGTGCATATGAATCCTGTCTTTGTCATTTTTCGTGCCTTTTCTTCCTTTGAGTTTGAAGAAGTTGGGGGGGGTGCTCACAGATTGAGGGCGGGGGAGAGGTGGAGATGGTGTTGGGTTCATGACAAGCTTAGAATAAACCCTGTATAGCTCAGAGAGCTATCAAACCCATGTTGCATTTCTAGCTCCAAACATGTATTGGCTTTGTTGTCCTAATGCAAATATGGAATAAAACAAAAGCATACAGTAATGTGACAATAGCAAACACTTTTGCTTTGTGCCTTCCTCCCCTCCAAAAACACTTGCTGCAGTTCTGATGCCATTCAAAGTGTGTATCTTTAAAAAGCAAAGGCACCGAGTCTGGCTAAATACTTGTCCACTGGCATTCTTATACAGACAAAATGAAAATTCTCATTCAAGAATACATAGTGATCAGATGGCTACAAGAAGTATTATAGCAAAGAAATAATTAACTCCCAAATTAGCTGTTGTAGTTTCAAATTCTTTCACCCTGTAGTAATTTCATAATGCATTAAAAATCCATTCTGTATGTTGTAGTTAGCAAAACAAGCATATACTTTTTAAAGCACTGTTCAGTGTGTTCTATTTCCTGAAAATTTGCATGCTATCTGATTAGGGATTTTGTTATTTATAGCAAACGCTTCTAGAATCAAAACTAATAATTATATGAGTTCTTATGTTCTTTACTTCTAACAACTTCATTGAAAAACAAAGTACATTTTTAAATCAAGTGACATATTTTATGGGTTAGATCCAACCAGATTTTTCACTCAGTCTTGCCCAGTTCCCTTGCTAATAGCTCCCATCCATCCCACATGGCTTTTGTGCACACAGGTCTGGCGGGCTCCTAGCATGGCTTTTTTGGGGTGTTCAGGGGAGATCCCCCTGCTAATTTTTCATTCATAGAAAAACTGTTTGGATCCCACACTGTATATTTTGTTATATGCCCACAAACAAAACTCTAGCTGATTGAAAAAGGAATGTTTATTTTGTACAGAATACTAACTCTCCCCCCATACACACTTCTTGCAGCCTCTCTGGGAGCCGTATCATACTCAAGACAATGACTTATTGATGATTGCTTCAGCAGACTCAGAGCTTGATCAGCCTGGAATATGTGAATTCTGCCAAAAAGTTTTCCCACCATCTCTAACATCGAATGAGGATTTTCTAAGACATCTGAATTCACACTTCGACAAGAAGACTTAGTGTAACTGGAATGCAGAGAAAGTTTGTTTAAACTGAAATGCTGCAGTTTCTTTATAAATGAGTTCAGCCGGAGTTTTATGGACCATTAAGTTGTACTAAAGCCACTGTTAGTGGTATACAGGTGAAGCATGTATAAATATACTTCCATTAACCTCAAAGGGGGGAGAGGGACTTGGGAAGAGAGGACTAATGACATGGGCCATCCAGCATGTGACGACAAGGAGGATAACCTGACCTCTTAACTGTGTTTCTAAAGAACTGTTATTTGCATTGTAAACATATTTTTAAAAATGTGTAATGTTAATTGTAATACGATGCTTCTTGAACCCTCATTAAGTATATTAATTTGGAAACAAGTCCTATCTATTTCAATAATTAATGCTAAGTACCAGGATCCAAGAAAGATGTGATATCAGCCGCAAGTAAAGTGAAGTGTTTCACTTGTACCCATCACTGTTAAATGCTCTTGCTTCATAAATTGTGTTCATGGGCCAATAGCCACTGGGACTGTAAATTGCTGGCTCATATAATACACAAATTGGCCATTACATGAGATAATTGCATTTTAAAATGATGGGACGCTTTTGGAGTGCTCGCCAGCGACCCACATAATATTTTTTTCGGTCTTTAAGAATGAAACAACTTATCAAGAGCAGAACTAGATTTTTCTTGCCCTGGGATTAGTGAGCATCATTTATTATTTTGTGCAAGTGACCTCACCATTGTAGTAAAAACTGGTTTTGTGAGTAGGGGGTCGTTGGATGCTATTATTTGAGACAGGTGTGAAATTTTCAGATTGAATTGTGATATTACGTCTATTCTAGAAATACAGAACTTGCTCTATTAAAAAGAAATCCTAATCCTTGCATCAATAAAGGATTTTTTTGGGAAAAAATGTTTGAAATAATTTTACTACTGAGCAGTATAGTACAGAAGGTGTTCCCTAGATGTGATTCACAGAGATAACTTCCTATATGTTTTCTTCACACAAGTGCCTTTCACTGCATTTACAAGACATGCTAACTTTGTTATGTGAAGATGCAGTAAAATTTACATGTGGATTTATCATGTATAATGGGATTCATACAGTTTTCTTCTGGGGAATTCCACTTTCTATGTAATGGTCCTTAGAGTACCTGTTTTCCTGTAGTTGGCTGCTGTTTTTTAAAAAGTGTAGAGCTGTAAGAACGGTAGCACCACTAATATAAATATGCAGTAAAGTGTCATCCCTCCAGATCTTTTGTGGGAGGTCCCCTCCGCCCTGTTGCTCTTCCTCTCACTGGTACGTAGTCCTTCGCTGGTTCCCAGTCTGTACACCCTCACCATCCGTCCACCTTCCGCCCATGCAAATGAAGCTGTAAACCAGCTCTGATTCTTGCCCATCAAGTTCCAGCTCCACAGTTCCTGTTCACGGTTTCCCAGTAAAAGAGGAAAGGGGATTGTGAATAAATTCTAGGCCCCAATCCCATCTCTAAATGCAAGCGGTTAATCATGCATGACAACAGGTGGCAGTGAATGCAAATCCTTATTTGCATCAAAAGAGACATTTAGCCAATTTAGTGAATACGGTGATGTAAAAGTGTTGGGTTTTGATGTAATACCCAGCAAAAAGAAACATACATCCACAGAGGCACAAGATGTGTTTGTATGTGGATTTTGCCGCTACAAGGACCCAATATCACCCAGTAAAAACTACTGTGTGTATTTATGGGAAGAGAGGCCAATAGGTTAATAAAATTTCCTTTATCCTACCATTATTATTTTTAAAGTAGAATGCTAATTCAGCTTCTGGATATTTTTGGTATTTTAAAAAAATGTTAAACATGAAGTTTACAAAAATTGATTACACGCATTTGTTGGGGGTTTGTATGTGGTTTTTTAACAGTTGCTTTCTACATAGGTGAACAATGTAAATACTGAGCATTTATTATCATGCGAGTTTAGCTGAGAGACAGCTTTAAAACTTTTAAAACCTAATATTTTCCAGGACCCAATAATATTTGTAGACTGGAGGGACTGTGCTATTTTCAGGCCAGGAGTATTAATTGTATAGTAATGTTTAATAAATTGTCTATATCTGCAGTTGCTGTTTTGACTGGCTTTATCTTAAAACTCAAGGGGCAAGAATGCAGTTCTTGCATAATTGTAACTCATTTGGCTGCGCCAAGCGTTTTTCTACAACTCTGACTTCAACTTCTCATCTGATTCTGACAAGTTGTTAACTGCCTTTGCACTATAATAAACTGTAGTGTGAGGGGGGTTTGTCTCTGGTGTGACCTAGAATGTATGTTTTGGTTCTACTATAACAAATCTACCATTTATAAATGCATACGTGATATAACAGAGGCCAAAACGTCAACCTCTTGAGGCTTGCTTAGATGCAATGCTCTTGCCATTTCCATTTTGGTGGTGATGTGTAGTGGGACTTCTCTCCAAAGAACAGTGGCGCTTGGACATAACCTTTTGTCTTTGAAGTTATAAGTAGTGCAGTAGTAAGTCCAAACTGGCTTTAGAAGGAGAGGAATGTGCTTTTTCTTGTGAATTTTGCACTGTATTTTCCTCTCTGTACATTTCAGTAATTGAATTCTTCTGGGCGAAGGCATGTTTCCCTAAAACTCACTCTTGTTTCTTTTCACACACAATCCCAACCCCTTTGAATGACCTTCCAGTAGAGATGGGGGGGGGAGATACCTTAAAAGTGATTGAAAATTGATCTTAATTTTGCAGAACAAAAGTTCTTCTATTTCCCTTCAATCACTCGTCACCTGTGGGGAAAATTCTAAAAAAAGGTTAGGCCTTTGAAACACAAACATAGTTTGTGCCTGCAGGTTCGTCTTCCTGAGCAACTAATATCTGTATAGAATGCCATATTTGTGATTTCCCTTTTTAAAAACAGAACAAGAAAGGTTGAACCCCGTGATGTTTTTGTAGATTACTGCGTGATTGTAGGGGGGATGAATATACACCCCGAGCAGCCTCCAGTCTAATGCAACTTTTTTTTTCCCTTCTGGAAAAAGCGGCTGCTTCTGCTGCTAGTGGGGACATCTGCTTTATTACGCTCACCCAGGGAAGCTCAGGCACTAGGAAGTACTAACAATACCACCTTCGCTCAGCAGTGGAGACTAAACCCGACAGGGAGAGGAATTATTTTTAAAACTGGGAGAGGAAAGCTGATCTTGGGGGAGAATGGAATAAAATCCTCATACTTTCTCTCACCTTTGATTATATGAAAGGTGCTTTCTTCTCTCTCTTCCCCACCTCACCCCCCAGCCATATTTGAAGTCTTTTCACTATCGTAGGGCTTGTCAATACAATTTGGTTAGCAGGGGAGCGACTGGTGGGCAGGCGGGCAGGCCTCAAGCTGGAAAGGAGATGCCTGGGGGAGACCCAGCCTTGCTCCCCACACCCCTAGTTGCACCATGCATGAGATGCATGAGTGCATATATCTGTACACACACACCCTTTTCTCCCCACCTCTTGCCAGCTGCTTGTGGCTCCTGTAATTAGACTGTCACCGCTCGTTAGAGGAGCCAGGGAAACACTCTTGTGACAGATTCCACTAGTTCATCAAGGGGGTGCGATTTTCGAAGGGGAAATTTAGTACATTAATTTGAGGTCTCGGCTCTGTCCTTTTCTGGAAATTCCCCTCCGCGGTCTGTTTATTGCCACACTCAGCTAGAGAGCTCCTTCTCTTCCCCCCCCCCACCCCCTACGCCCCCTCAGCCCTCCAATCCGCCCCCCTCTCCCCCCCCCCCCCCTCGGCCCGAGGAGTTGTTCAGAGCGTTGCAAAAGGCTAGCTTGAGGGAGCAAAAAAAATCTGCTTCCAAAACATGCACCCGCACGCACACGGGGAAGCTCTGGGGGTACTTCCCTTTCTCTTCTCCCTCCCCCCGCGCGGCCTCGCCACACACTTGAGGAAGCGGTTTTGTCGCTCCCCCTCGCACACATTTCTCTCTTCCTCCCGCCCAATTCGTGCAAGGTTAACTCAGTTTAGAGGAGGCTCCATCCAAATGGCAACTCGGATTGCATTTATTTATTTTATTTTTTTAAAGAGAACATGAAAGGGGGGGAGTG